GAAATACTCGGTCATATCTTGAGACGCATGGGCCCTAAGAAGCTCCGAACTCACAAGCAAGATGGCATCCCAGAAACCCGACATACACCGAAGTATCCCGGGTGGGTAGGCACCGATCCCCAAAAGCCCACCTGCGCCGTGCGATCCACCTCGGGGATTTTCGCTTGCCTTTGGCGGAGGGCTTAGGGCACTTTGAGGGCCGGCTGCTTTGCAGTGGGAGGGTTCAAACGTGTCCTCAATTGAGCTCGGAGGGGGTGTCAGTGGTTGCACCTTTAGAGATCGTGGACTCTACGTGTCGAAACCGAGGCGATGCCCCCACAACTTCCCTAAAGGTACCGACATCAAACACTAAGGGCTTGGGACCTGTTGAGGGCTTTTTAAGGCCCAGAGATAAGAGCAAGCCGCAAACATGCGATCCCAAATCAGAAGCTTGTCAGATGAGCTCAGATAAAACCGAGACCAATTGACCGAAGCACAAAACTTGCACCGAAGCCTGCCGAAAGCCAGAATCCGTTCAACCCTGTCTGTTCCCCCGAATCCTTCTTCTACAGACTGCCAGAGCCTGGGGTCTTCGGCTGTAGGGTTTAGCTGAACGGGTGGCCCTTTCGGTCGGTTTCCGGCTTCATGTTATTGGGGTTTAGGGTTTAGCTTAGGGTTTAGGGCTTAGGGCTTAGGGTTTAGGGTTTAGGGCTTAGGGTTCAGGGCTTAGGGTTCAGGGCTTAGGGTTCTGCATCTGGGCCCCGGGCTCGAGGTCGTAGGCCTGGGAGAAGCCGGCAGCCTCCCCACCGTGCATCATTGTCCGTGCACGAACCCTGTCACAAAAAAAAAAACACGGCTCGGCGAACCATAAGCCGTAAACCCGAACCATAACCCATAAACCCTAAACGAACCCTGACAAAACAAAAAAAAAAACAGCTCTGCAAAGCGGAAGCCGTCAAACCTGAACCACAACCCATAACCCCCCCCCCCCGGCCGGCCCTCTCCAAAAACAAGATGAACCTGAAGACATCTCCGAGCGTCCCTACACCCCAACCGCAACGCCCAACCCGAACCCTACAAAGATCTACACTGCCCCTGAAGCCTGACAAAGAAACTCCTCGAAGCCTAAAAAACGCTGCGACCTCGCCTCAGCCTGGGCCTTGGCCGCCGCCTTGCCGGCTTCGTAGGCCCTGGGCTGGGGTTTGGGGTGCTCGATTCCTAAGGTGTTGTGAAACATGTTGAAACAGAAAACTGAGGTTGCTGCGAGATAGATGAAAGAATAGCAAAGAGGGATTTTGTTCACACGCTGTCCGTGCAGCCGTCCATAAGTCGCTTGACCATGAGCTCACCGACATGGCTGTTCATGCGTGTGATGGGGGAATGGATGAAAGAAATGAGTACCCAAAGCTCGCAGCTTGCTATGTTGTGAGCAGTGAAGCAGAATCACGTACCCGTTGAACCTTCTGCATTTGTATTGTGAGATCTGAGGCACCGGCGCTTGCAGCGCCTTCTTCATATCCTGAAGCACAGTGGGGCACGTAATGCTTGGATATTTGAGAGTCCTGGAAATAGCCGCTGAAGGATTTAATTGGTTCTGCGCTTACCACCGTAATTAGCTGTTGTCGTGGTGACAGGAACAGAGTGGTTTGCAGATAAGTTTCCTGTTGCATCGTCCGTGGCAATACTTAACGAGATAGGAACTTGCTCGGACCACAACGCGTGCCACAGCAGGGAGAAGTGCTTCAGAAACAAGCGATTGGGCTTGCTATCGGTCTGAACAAGCAGTAGTGCCGTCGACAAAAATTGCGTTCAAGCAGAACACCTGCTCGACCAACGAGCTTATGCAAGCCATGACTGTGGCCACAAAACAGAGAACTGACTGCAGCGTTGTGCTGCGGAGATCTCGGCTGATCTGGCAGCCGTCTCAGACATGAATGGAAGCCCATGCGGAAGTCTGCATAGGGCATAGGGTGTCTGTCAACTTAGGGGTCCCGTACGCTAAGGGCCCTTAGAATAAGGATCAGATGAGGTCCATATGAGCGTCTGTCACGTTCTGAAACTACATGCATACAGAGCTAGAAACCCACCAGTCTCTCGCAATCCCGCTCCTCGGCGCTTGGCACAGCAGCCGGCGCCTGCTGGGGCCTCGGCAAACAGCGAGAATGGCAATGCCAGAAGCCCCAAACCCCAAAGAAAGCGCAACACTGCAAAGAGGCCTTGCCACTTTCTAACCCTCTGTCCTGAAACTCCATGCTCCGCAAGAAGCACAGGAAAACCATGGCACGAGAGCCGGGCACTTGGGCAGCAGCATCTGCGACCTTTTGCTCGTTAAGGCTAAGGGAAAGCTGGGAAGGATCTGAGCAATGAGGATGCGGAGGATGATGCTGATACTGAGATGCTGCTGACGATCCTTCCAGAGGCCTCGTCCAAGTCATCGCCATCGCTACTCTGTTATACCGAACTTATACTAATACATGTTGATTCCCACTGCCTCATCACAATCATCCACAGCCCAACCATTCATTTCGACATCGGCAGCTTCGTCGTCATCGTCTTCACCATCACCCAAGTGGTGCGTCCTTCTGATTGGCAATCTGGCCGAACGATGCAGAAGTCTCCAACTTCACAGGCACAGAACTCCTATAACTAATTCACGGGCTTTTTGAAACGACTCCAAACTGGAGAAAGGTGCAGGTGGCAAACAGCCCTGGCGCCCAAATCAGCAACCTGCAGCAGAGTGGCAAAATCCCAAAAACCCATCCGAGCCCACATGCTCGAAAGCCCCAACGGCACCGCCCTGGGACCCTGAAGCTGCCACTGCACAGCCAAAAGCCCAAGCGCCTCAACCCTCGCAGAAGGATAACAAAGCGACCCAAAACCAATACACCCCCTTGACCCCCAACCCAACCCGAATCACGTCTACGTCTTCCCTCGTCTGAAAAGGACCCCCCACAGCAAGAGACCCCCAATATAAGGGAAGAAACTCCGCCAAGGTCCTAGAATCCTAGAAAGCCCCAGTCGGATCTACGGAACTCCACAAGCATGAAACATCGGAGTCCCAAACCCTAAACCCCTAAACCCCAAACCCTAAACCCCTACCCTAAACCCTAAACCCCTAAACCCTAAACTGCCCTAAACCCTAAACCCTAAACCCTAAACTGCCCTTAACTTCAGGCCTCGGGTGTGGGCGGCGAGTTGGCCATGAGCTGCGCCTCGCCTGCACAGGGGAAGCTGCCTAGGCCTAGGAGCCCCCTAAACCCGAAACCCTTAAATGGTCTAGGGTTTAAGGGTTTAGGGGTTTAGGGTTGAGGGTTGAGGGTCTAGGGTTTAACTTAAACCCTAAACCCTAAACCCTATAAACCCTAAACCCCTGAACCCTTAAACCCTAGACCCTAAACTTCTTAAACCCTTCTAGAGCCTTACAGGTTTAGGGCTTCGGGGTTTAGGGGGGTAGGGGTTTGGGGTTTAGGGTTCCCTCACCAAAAAAAAAGGGGTGCCTTTTAGGGGCTGCTTTAGGGTTGCGGGCTACTGTAGGGTTCGGAGCTGGCGTTTGAGGCTTTTGGGGCTTGAGGGGCTTTGCAGGGGCTTTCAAGGTCGTTGGGGTTTGGGGCTTAGGCTTTAGAGTTTGGGGCTCTGTCGGAGTTGGTAAGCCGGTTGGTAGTTCAGGAGCACCCCTAGGATAAATCATCCCCACTTGCAAACTTCTAAGTCTCCCAAGCCTCTGAGTAAAACCCTCACAGTAGAAACCCCAAACTCCGAACAACCCCAAAACCCCAGACCCTAAACCCTATAAAAATCCTAAACCCTAAACCCCAAACGCCAAACCCTAAACCCTAAACCAAAACCCTACAAAACCTAACAGCCCCGAAAAAAGAGCCCGGGTCCCGGCGCTGGCCTGCGGATCGGGCGGCGGCCTCGGCGGCCTCCCCTGCGGCGTGGGCGGCCTCTCAGCTGCAGGGCTCCAGCCCTTTACATGGGGTTCGATGTTCGAGGGTTTAGGGTTTGAGGGTTTTGGGTTTTGGGCTGAGGATTTAGGGTTTGAGGTCTTGGGTTGAGGGTTTAGGTGTGAGGGTTTTGGGTTGAGGGTTTTGGGTTTGAGGCTTGAGGGCTTAGGGTGGGTTCGGACACCTCTGCTGCCAAGGCGTCCACTCGCCCGAACTGGGTCCCACAGCCCCTGAAGCGCCATGAGCCCCACCTCCTGCGCTTGGAACACCGCTTGGCTCATCGAGGCCTGAAGACACCGCCGGGCTTTGCACGGGCTTCTAGGACTTAAGAGGAATTTTGGGCTTGAGGGTATCGGCATTCAGTCTCGTCTCGTGACCGTCGCTAGCTAGTCCATCCTGCGCCCTGCATCGTCAAGTGCTTAAACCCCTCAGCTCGAAGGCCCAAACCGACAGAATGCTATTCCAGGAGCTGATTCATGCGTCGCACTGCATCTCAATTTGCGGCGGCGCTTGCATCCCGTGCAATCAATGCCCTACACTCAAAAGCTGCAAGCTCCAGTAGAGAAACCTGGCCAGTTTGCAAGCTGAAGAAACTGCTTGTTCTTGCAATCATGTCTTAGCAGCCGTATCTGGTTTGGCTTCTCCAGACCCTGCTCTGCCAGTGTCCTGAAACATTTAGGCCCTTCTGCACCAGGGAGGCATGTGCCCTGCCGTCTTCTGCGCAGGGAAGCAAAATTCCAAGTCCAACAGCAACATCAAACTGGAAGATTAAACAATTCGAGTGCGGGCACAACGCATCCAAGGTTGCGTTGCCTCGGGTCTCTTGCAATCGAAGCTACCTTAGAATGAAATTCGTAGTTCTCTGCTGCTTCCGCTGGTGTGTTGATGCGTGTCGTCTTCCAACCCTCAACTGTATAACCTGGGAACGCGTGCACCGCACGTCAACACGCAATGCTTGGGCAGCGCCGTGGCCAAGAAGCTGTGTAGGCACAGGTCACGGAGCCGTGCACTGAGCTGCTTGGAAGCGCTGCGGAACTACGCGAATTCTCGGGCTCTCATTGAGCCGTGCTGAGAGGATCAGTCCATGTACTCCCCCGCCGCTGTGTCCGGAATGGAAGCTCCCTCATCTGTCGGATGGGCCGCCTCCTTGCCTCTACCACGGACGCCACGACGAGTCTGCAACTTCTGGTGTCCCTTGCTGAGGATGCAGGATGGGCTGGAGAAGACGGCCACAGGCAAGTCCGGCTTGAAGACGATCTTCAGCACGCTGCACTCCATGGGCAGTGTCTCTGCACTGGTGAGCGCAACCGGCTCCCCTGAATCCAGCATCACGAGCTCGCCCACCTTAAGCTTGCCCGCCGGCATGCAAAGAGGGCGTCCTGCGTTGCCACCTTGATTGGGAACCTGCACGGGATGGTCCGGGGTCACCCGCAGTGCTGCACTGCCAGCCTGCAAGTCAACCACTTTCGTAGTTTGCGCTTCTTTTGAGATGTCGACCACCTCCAGAACGGTCTTGCCATCGCCAGCCAGGACCTGCGACCCTTTCTGGAGGTCACTCCCCTCGCGGAAGAAGTCCATTCGACTCTTGAAGATGGCATCCAGCATGAAGCAATTCTGCTTCACGGAACAACCGGAGGACCCACTCAGCACGGAGGCGCGGTCTTCATCCACGAGGCTGTACCCCAGCTGCTCTGCAAGATCCGGCCCCTCGTCACCGAAGGCTGCGTCGCGGGGAGCCGGGCCACGAGGATTGAAGGTGGGATGATGGGACTCTTGCTTCTTCCTCTCGGCAAGCTGGCGAAGGCGCTCCTTGTACATGCCCCTTTCTTCCCACAGAACCTCCAGCTGACCACGGGCTTCGGCAAGCTGCTGCTGGAGCTGCTCACACCGGTCCTGCAAGACTACCTTGCAGCTCCCCGTCGCCAGGTGGACCTCAGCCCGCTCAGAACCGTCCTGGAAGCTGCGACTCGCGTCTTGCTGCAGTCGCTGCACCTCCAGCTGCTTCTCGGCGGCATGGGACTCGGCCTGCGCCAGAAGCTCCTTGGTCTTGGCATGCTCGGAAGCTTCCGCCTCCGCCGCTTCCAACCGAGTCAGGAGCTCCCCACAGCGCTCCCGGCACTTGCCATGCTCCTCCTGCAACTGCCGGAGCTCCTGCCGCATCTCCGCCGCCACTGACTCTGCAACTCCACCACGAGTTGCGAACTCCTCGCACTTGGCGCTCTCGCTCTGCGCAGTTTGGAGCTCGGCATCCTTGCTGGACACCTCCGCCTCCGCCGCGGCCAGGCGATTGCTGAGCTCTCGCCCCTCCTCCTGCGCTTTGTGGAGCTCCGCTTCGAGGCGCCGGCGCTCGCAGGTCTCCTCCTCCAGCTTCTGCCGCTTCCGCGCCGTCTCCGGGCTCTCGGCCGCCGCGAGCCGCTCCGCGAGCTCCCGGCAGCGAGGGCGGATGTGGGGATGCTGCAGGTAGTGAGCCGCCCAGCGCTCCCGCTGCGCTGCTGAGCCCCACGGCTCTCGCAGGAGCCCCGCCTCGGAGAAGCACCAGTGGCCAACGTACTTCCCACACTCGGCCGCCCCGTGCCGCAGCAGCGCCTCTTGGAGCTCCTCCGGCCTCGTCCTCTCGCCCGCGAGCTCCGTGGCAAAGCGCTCCCGGCACCGCTCGAGCCAGGCCTCGGCCTCCGCCGGCTGCGCGGCCCAGAGCTCCGCCAGCCGAGTACTCACCGCCGCGCGAGCTCGCTCCGACGGAGGGTGACCTGGACCATAAAAAGCCAAGTTGGCGAAGGCGTCGATGACGGTCGCCAGGGGCCAGCCGACAGGGACTTCGGTCAGGTCTGCGAGATGAGCACAGGAGGACCTCCGATTTGCCTTTGAGCCCTGCTTTGCCTGACACCAACGCAGGGCCATGGGAACGCAAAGCCGTCGCGCTACTGGATCGATCTCTCAAAGGCAC